TCCTCGCGGGAGTGAGGTACACCCCAGCAGCCACCACTGAAAATAGCCCCCTGGAAACTCCTCCGAGGGCCGGAACGGGGAAGGTCGGGATGGAGGGAACTCCTCCGCTTAAAGACAGAAGGGTGGGAGGAGATGGTGGGACGCACCCAGGGAGTCGAAAAAAGGGAGAGGCAAAACCCAATAGCCCTGGACCGCGCAGTCCTGGAGTCCCGGGACAACCGCATCTCGTCTCCCGCAGGGATCTCCTTCTGTCCCGACAGAGCCAGAACTGCACGGGGATCGCCCAGCAGCAGGTTCCGGAGAGACTTAGTGTGGATGCTCCGCCTACCATTTCGTGCAGTGCATAAACGAGTTGATGGTGCACGTTGAAACCACCTGTTGTTTGAAGAGTAAGGGGGTAGGAGTGTCCCTCATTTGTTCATCCGAATTCTGTTTTTCTGTTTTCCGTTCTCCCGCCCGATTTCAGAAGGAAAAGACAAACTGACATCTTGAGAGCTAGCAGCTCCCGCTATGGAAAACCTTCGGCCCAGGGTGGCAGGGGAGGTGGCGGAGTGGGAGGGCTAGTGAGGGAGTACAGATAAGATTAAGTGCTACAGAGTCTTCTGGGAATGCTTTAGCAATACTTTTTGCACAGTATTCTAAATGTACCAGAAATTAATCTCTTGCTTTTTCCTGGCAGTCCGGAAAAGACCAGTGGATGTGAGCAGAGAGATGATAGACAACCTAGTAGTCATTCACAGCATAGTCTGTTCACAGCCAGTCCTCAGAAAGCAGTCACCTCAATTACCCTATTTTACTTACAAGTCAAAATGGAAAGAAAATCTGCCCAAAAGCTGTTCTCTCGTGCTTGTAACTGAATTTCCCTGCTCATCCAGCAAAATACTACATTTTTTTTCCAATTCTGGTGCTCTTGGATGGCCTTCCTAGAAGATAAACTTAAATCTTTCAGGCATTAGGAGATGACTCTAATACCAGCCTACATTGATCTAGATCAGGACAAAAATCTAGGGTGGGGCCTTCCTGCTAGTCAGCAGATAGAAAAATTCCTAGAGAATCTCTAGGAAAAAGGCAGAGGCTGACTTTAGCAAGTTGCTATAAAAAAAATAAAAATAAACAAAAAAAAGGCAAGTACCGTGTAAGCCCCCAGGTGGCTGCAAAAATAGTCTCTGAGGCTAACTCCAACTCTTACATGCCTTACCTGGATTTCAGCACTCAGTGAGGCAAGCGCTGAGGGCACAGAGCTCCCGTGGAAGGCCTTATTCTGCAAGTGCTTCTGAGGTGCAAGGCCATCTTTCCATAGGCACCAGACTGCACTGAGGTATCCCTGAGATACTCCCATGCTACCCAGTGTCAAAGAACCATTGAGCCCTAGACTTTGAACTCAGGTGAGTCAGGATTAAATCCCTGCTTTTTCTGATAAAATTTAGGAAGTTATTGTTTCTTTTTATTCCTCCCCTACACCCCAATCATTAGCAATAGAAGTATAAGTACTGCAGGGTGCTGCATTAGATAACATGCTTCAAGCACCAAGAACAGCGCCGATTACTTTGTAAGTACTCACGTAGTAGCTGTTACTGTATTTACTACTTGTCATTGCCCTGAAAACAAAAGAACTAGGAACAGTAACAGGCTTTGGAAATACGGAATCCCCTTCTAGGTACTAGTAGGTGGCCTGGTGGTTAAGGTGCTGAACTCTCACATACCAACTCCATGGTTCAAGTCCCAAACTGGCAACTTGAAAAACACACTTGGTATGTGTGTGCGCATGCCCAAAATCCCTGGAGGAGAATGGAGAAGGGATTGCGGTATGGCCATCCACCCTGAAGGGTGATTCCCACTTTCCCTCTTTCTCTCACCAATGAGCACATGTACCCCCATGGCAAAAATGTGAAAAAAAAAAAAAAGAATCCCCCTTTTATTTGAGCCTCCCTCTAAATTGTTTTATTGTACTATATTTCTGGTACTCTGTGTTTGCCTTCTAATAGAGTGAGCTGAACAGTTCTCCAGGTGCAGGCAAATGATTCACGTGTACATATAAAGTTTAAGAGTTACTAGTCTAAAAACCACAACATTTATATGAGAGGGCTTCACAACGTTCAAGGAAAATGTATAATATGGAAAGAGTAGAGTATAGATTTCAATTTATTTTTGCACCACAATAAACTTACTGTAATTTCCAGAATAAGCTTTTACTTTATTTTTCCCCCCATGAACTTTTGAAGTCTCTACCTATTGCTTAATTCACCTTATTTTCTAGCATTTCTTAGTCATCTCACCTCAGCCAGCCTAGCTCAAATCAACACTTATCAAGCTCTCTGAAAACACTGGGCGAATCAGCAGTCAGTCCATTTGGGTGAATGCCGGCCCCTGAAGTAGGGTAATAACCCTTAGACTTTTTTGGTTGCTTGGAAAGGGGATCTGGCATATATATGAACCAGAATAAACCATCTTGAACTAAATGTGTTTGGAATTCAGAGGAACGACAGGGTATTGTGGGCTAGGTGAATTGGGAAGACAGTCTCCATCCTTTCACTTTATACTCACTCATTTTGAAAAACCACTTTGGCATTCTGGATAAACCTCCAGAGTGAGTTCCACACTCGGACCCCACCGAGTTGAGTTAATTATGACTAGTTGACAGTAGGGAGCAGAGGTAGGTATTTCTGGGCAGCGTGAGGCGATGGCAAGGAATTTTAAATGGTATAATTCTGAGCTCTAATCCTGCATCACTAGCCATGTGACCCTCGGCTTCTTAATCTTTGAACCTTGGTTTCCTCATCTGTCTATTGGAACACATCTACTCTTTAGGTTGTGGTAAGACTCAGAAGGATTGTCTGCCACCCTTCTAGTCAGTTATGGACATGATAATTAGGTTCCATTGTGATTTTGTTGTTACCTACAGGAAAACCCTGCAGAACTGTATCATTCCTTGAGAGCCTAATGGAAAAACCTCCTTCTCTGTGAATAATCCTCCCTTTCTGGTGCACTCAGGCATTTAGTTTTCACCTTTATTTCTGCACTTTCCGTGATGTGCTGTCATTTCTGTCTTTACTACAGCTTCCCCAGGGCAGAAACTGTATCTTTTTTCATCCCTGTGTCGGTTGTCAACACCTAGCACAGAACCAGGTAGCCAATGTTAAAAGAGTTAAGTTTAAAAATAGTTCAATTTCTTGTACTGATTCTGACTTACACCATAATTTTTATTATCCTACAGGCTCTAAAATCTGAACTCTTTAGTTCAAAAAGAATTTATATGAAAATTATATATTAGCTCTCTTTGCCTGCTTCAACCCTGAGTTTTTGATGTTGAGATTGTTCACAACCAACCTGGTATTTCTGTTTTGAAGTTTGTGGCAGTTGGTCTTGCTGGGTAATAGTGAAAGTAAAATCTAAATTCGAAACCAAACCCACCAGCAGAGTTTTATTCTGCATTCTCTATCCACCTCATGCACATCTGCTCCCCAGAACATTTTTGAGCTTCCTGTAAAGGAACTGAGCTAAGGGGAAACACTGTTGTTCTTTAAGCTTCAGCTGTTAACATTTGCAAACACTAGCACCTTCTGAATTAATAGCTGCATAATACAACCCACCTTT